CTCAGTTTCTATGGTTACAACCTGCATTACTCCACACACAGACCGAGCTTGTACTTGATGTTACACATAACAAAGGTTGGCATGTTACCAGGTTCTTTCCAATAACAGAATAGTAATAACAATAATTAGCACACAGCTTGTCTCTGAGAAGCTCTAAATGATTTCTACATAAACACTCAGCTGTTGAGAGGAAGTGGGAAGAGGGTGGCCACAACAGACGCCTACACTCAATGTAGTCTGTGTTCATCTTGTATTTGAGTTGTACTGGGACATAGCTACTAAACGCGATGGCATAGCTGTAAGTCAGTGTATTTTCATCAAGTATTCTGAATTCACCTTTTAAAATGGCTGATTTAAAAAAAAGAGAAGAGAGAAGGAGACCCATTTTCGGGTTGTAGTGATTGTGGTGTTGGTCACCCTGGAGCTGATTAAAAATGTTGAGAAAGGCAAGAAGATTTTTGTTGAGAAGTGTGCCCAGTGCCACTCTGAAGAAAAGGGAGACAAGCATAAGACTGGACCAGATCTCCATGGTCTGTTTGGGAGGAAGACAGATCAGGCCGCTGGATTTGTGTACACAGATGCCAACAAGAACAAAGGCATCACCTGGGGAGAGGACACCCTGATGGAGTATTTGGAGAATCCCAAAAAATACATTCCTGAAACAAAAATTATCTTCGATGGAATTAAGAAGGGCAAGAGGGCAGATCTAAATAGCTTATCTTAAAAAGGCTGCTAGATGAGTAATTCCACTGTCTTATTTATTACAAAACAAACGTCTCTTGGCTTTTAATATGTACCATAATTTAATTCATACACCAAAATTCAGATCATGAGTGGCTAACAATGTTTTTGTTGAGCAGTCCTGATTTAAGTAAAACTGACTTGTAGTAAAGAGGGTATGACCTTTTTAAAATAGCAATTCCAGATGCATACACACTATCACTGCTCTCCCTTTCTCAAAATAGAACTGGACTTAATTACTAATGTTCTGCTTACCACAACGATGGGGGTGTCACCTCAAACCTACTAAATGGTTTTATACTTAAAAGTATAAAACTGGGCATATGAGTATATCTAAACACTGGGAAAATTTTGTCACTGTCATAGAAACAAGAAGACTCACATGTGTTTCAGTTTGTATTCACTGGCCTGTTACAGGCAATGTCTATTCCTGACTTGAAGATGTCATTTTAATTAGAACTCCCTAAGTCAAAGGGTGCTGCCTTTCTATCATTAAAAGGCACTTACTGTGGTCTATGTATAATAGCAAATAAAGAGTATTTATCATGTCTTTAGAGTTGATCTGTAAAGTTAAAATGCTGTTAGAAACCAGCAATTTAGAGCTTACTTTCTATTCTTAATTATCTAAGACTAAGTTGTAATCCAGAATTGTTCTTAAACATCCATTCAGAAACACACAAACTGGAACTTCTTATGTGTGATTGCTGGTGGCAGGCACTCTTTGCCAACTTATTTAAATGGGAAGATTTTAAAAAGGCGATAGTTCATAAGTTTTCAACAGTAGGAAGATAATTATAAGCAATCACAGACTGAAAAAAAAGAGAGAATGAAGAAGAGCTTTGGACTCATCCTTAAACTAACTAAATGACGAGGCTGATCAAATGCTTTGGCCACAGTGCTGCTGGCCACAGGATCATTCCAGCATTTCCAGGATAGAAGGATTCAGAAGCTTCAATGACAGCAATAGCTTCTAATAGATTTTTTTTAATTAGCAGCAAAAAGAAAGGCATTAAAAAAATGTTACCACTTATTACCAGGCATTGGATTATGGATTTTACTCAAATCTAAACATCAATCCAAAAAGACATACATTCTTATCCCTGTGTCAAAGACACAAGGAACTTGCCAGGGTAACTCAGTGTGCTAGCAACACAGATGAAAGCTGAATCCAGGTCTGGTTATAATGTTTATGCTTATTCTAAACATAAGAATTTGAGGCAATCGACAAAAAAAGAATTGATTTTTCAGAGGGTATAGCAAAGCCACCCAGAAATTTCACTACTTGTAAGGAACTTGAGACAAGCTAGGTTCACTGAATAGATTCTAGAAACAAACAGAAATATTTTACTATCATTATTCACTTTTAGTACAAGACCCAAAAAGTACAAATTATAATTTGACAGTTTCTTAAGCTACTCACAATAGAGCTACTTTCTTAATTACATAAATATATACCAATATAACTCCAGTCTGATAGCTAGGAAATCAGCATAGGACTAACCCAGACCCCCTGAATGTGGGTGTTAGTTAAGAGGACTGGGCAGTGTATGGGGCCTCTAGCAATGGATCAGTATTTATCCCTAGTATAGGGATGGACTTTGGGAGCCCATTCCACATAGAGGGATACTCTCTCAGCCTGCACACATGAGAGAGAGCATAGGCCCTGATCCAAATGATATGACACTTTGAAGATTCCCCATAGAGGCGTCACGCTCCCTGGGGAGCAGAAAAGGGATGGGATGTGGATTGGTGGGAAGGACAGGGGAGGAAGAGAGGGTGCAGGAACTGGGACTGACATGTAAAACAAGCCTGTTTCAAATTTAAATTTAAAAAAAAAAAATCAAAGAAAAAATTACATATACTAATATAGTTTGTATCTTATGGAAAGTAACATAAATTTCCACAAATGGTGCTTAAATTATAACACTTTTGTTTATATTATATTTTATGTGCAGAAAATTTTCACTTTCATACTTAAAAAATAATCTGATGAGGCTGGAAGATGGCTCAAAGGTAGAGATCAGGATGCTCTACCAGAGGACCAGGGTTTGATTCCCAGTATTCACATAGCAGCTCACAACTAACTGTAACTACAGTCCCAGGGGACTCGGCACCCTCTTTTCATCTCATTGGGCACAGCACAGGGTGCACACACATACATACAAGCAAAACAGCTACATACATACATAGATAAAACATAAAATTTTAAATAATAATGTAACAATTTTATAAAGTAGTATATGCATTCTAAATTAACTCCCTTTTTACAGTTCAGGAAAATTAAGCTCAAGGTTAAATGTCATGAACATTAATTGAGATCTATGCATTGAGAGAGAATATAAAGATAAATATGGCACAACACCTCTCCTTGAGTAAAATGCTTTTAGTCTACTAGAACAGGCAGAAACAAACACTTGCAAAATAATGTGATAAATGCATTTCTGAAATCTCTAATTACACACTCAGTCTACTATCTGGATAATAATATTGAAATTCTCTTTTAATTAATTTTTGTTATATTTGTTTTATTTTATGTGCATGACTATTTTGCTTGCTTGCATGTATGTATGTATCTATGTATGTATGTATGTATGTATGTATGCATGCCAGTTGAGTGCCCTGTGTTTATAAAGGTCAGAAGAGGGCATTTGATCCCCTGAAACTAGAGGTATGGATGGTTGTGAGCTGTCATGTGGGTGCTGGGAACCAAGCCCAAGTCCTCTAGGTGCCTTTAACCATTGAGTCATCTCTCAAGCCCAGCTCTGAAATACTTGTTTGGAGAAGGGACAGTTTTTAAAAAAGGCTGTCATGGCTGGCTTTAATTGTCAATTTGACATAATCTAGAAACACATGGGAAGAGTGTCTCAATGAAGAACTATCATGGGTGGGTGGGTTAGCCTGTGGGCGTATCTGTGGCAGATGGTCATGACTGTTTTAACTGCTATGGTAAGGCACCATTCCATAGGCAGGGCGTCCTGAGCTATTGTAAGAGTAGAAAAAGCAAACGAACACAAGCAAATGAGCACACATGAGCATACATGCACTTACTTTCCCTGGTCTTGACTATGGACGTGGTGTGATACGCTGCTCCAAACTCCTGTCACTGTGCCTTACCCACTATGACAGAATATAACCTGGAATTATGAACTAAAAGAAAACCTTTTCCCCTAAGTAGCTTTTGCCAGGATATCCCATCACAGCAACAGAAAGGAGTAGAACTAATTATATAAGTTATCTTTGATATTTCATGAATCAGAACACAGATATGAAAAATTCAGAAGTCGATAAGAAACAAAGAGTTTTAAAAAGATACTATCTATTAGAATTATTAATGAGAAACCATAAGTATAAGGCTTAAAGTAAAAATACAAGCTTGAAGAAGATAGTTGTAGGAGACGGAGAAAGACAATTAAGATCAGAACAAATTTTTGCTAAAACAAAAGCTCTGGATTCTGCAGACTGAAAGCAGAAAATAAGTCTGACTAGTCCATAGCAAGTGAATATTTTTTTTAAAAATCTAGAAGTCAACCTCGATGGTTCACACAGTTAAGTCCAGCACTCAAGAGAAGACAAAGGGTCACAAATTCAAGACCTGGGCTGAAGTTCTCTGTCTCCAAAAAAAAAAAAAAAAAAATCCAGCAGAATTTATTGAGCATCTTCTAGCTTTTTTGACAAAGTATTTCTTAGTTCTAGTCCACACAAGACCCCCCTCCTAGTGTCTGAAACAGAACAACTTAACATCTACTTTGAGTAGTAAAGTAAGCTGCACCTGTTAATGGAATTCGGCTACTGCAAATCATTCTTATCAGCAGTGTGTTCATCCATTTGTTCAATAAATATCTACTGAGCTGTAAGGTTCAGTTTTCCCAGTATAAACATGGTGAGTAAGGATGGGTGGGTGGATGGATATGGGTGGATTCCAGAGAAATGTGCAGACAGATGGGTGGAAGGATAGACAGGAAGAGAAAAGAAGAGAGAAGTGGAATTTCCATTATACCAGATAAATGAATATGATACTAAAGCTTGGAACTAAAGTTTCATTCAATGTTTACATCCATGTTCCCAAAATTCAAGAATGGACTTTTAATTCTGATTATGAGCCATGAGTAGATACTTCCAAAGCCATTCTACCCAGCAGAGTAAAGTCACACCAGCCATTAAAGCACATTTATCTTATATTCATGATAATGTATCTGGGAGTAAAGATCAGGTACGCGAGAATAAATATATATTTTTAGTAAAGTTATCACTAGACATACCTTTTGGACAAAAAGCTCTTGTGATGATTTACATTCTGACAAGACTCTAAGCTGCCATCAGATGACGAAGAAAGTTGCTCTGACTTCGGGTTGGCTGTACCACTCAAACTGGCCTCAGTTATAGGTGGGATCTTTAAGTATTTTCTTCCTAACTCCGTTCGGAGGATATCCGTCAATATAACTCTGGGGATCCTGCCACATAGAATGACAAACACTGTACTGTACTAGAGTTTTGGGGGGGAGGCGGAGAAGAAAAAGAAAAGAAGAAAATGTACCCCATGAAGTTGAATTTTCAAACGTTGCTGTCACTTGGCACAAGTAAGCTCTCTTAGAATTGTAACAGTCAGGAAATTAACACACGGATACTCAAAATTTGGGATTGACAGTGTCTTTTGTTTCTAAAAGTTCTGTTGTTTACAAACTGTGGGACAGATTATCAGCATATAACTATATCTTTAACATTACTAACAGATATTATGGCAATACTTAAATGTTTAATCAATTTTTCACAAAAAAATGCTTTTTTCTTTTCTAGCATTTATGAAAAACATATCACTATAAACCAATTCATAAAATTTATGTTTTCATCTAGCAGAAAGGTCCTTGATAAACACTTGTGATCATCAAATGGCAAACGCTACATCCAATAAGAAAGACAATATCCAAATTACATCCACTGTAATGCTAGATTCCACAAATGAAACAGCACATATACTTATGATCATGTTTGTGTTAATATTATAATAGCATTGTTAGTGAGCTGATAGGTTAAATATTTAGAAATGCATAATGTATGCAACTTAGAAGTTGGTGGACTCTACATCAGATATACTGTATGTCTTGTACCTTCATAATAAAAAACCAATAACAAAATCTGTTTGTTACTCAACTTCTACTGTCAACAAGTGATGTGTGCCACACTACAAAGATTTCAAGGCTACTTTTTTGACTAGCATGTACAAGGTCTAGGGTTTGACTCCAGCATGGTAGGAGGAGCCAAGACAACAACATTTGACCCTGACTTATTCAAGCCAATTGTTTTCAAAATCTTTTTTAGATTTTGCTACTGTATTTTTAAAATATGTATTTAGCTATTTTACTTGTGTATGGTAGAAAGCCAGAAAAGGGCACCAGCTACCCTAGAACTAGAGTCACAGATGACTGGAAGACAACTGGTGTGGGTACCGGGAACCAAACCTGGGTCCTCTGTAAGAGTAGCAAATGCTCTTACTCACTAAGCCTTCTTTCTAGCCAACTATTACTTTTGTCTTATTGTGTTTTGTTTTAGGACAGGTTTTCATTATGTTGTTCAAGCCGGCCCCAAACTTGAGAATGAAGCCATTTGGCTTCAGCCCCTCCAGTAGCAGAGTACAGAGTACAAGTGTTTGCTGCCAAACCTGGATAGTTACTGTTTTTTAAAGTATTCTTGTTTCTCCTTTATTGGATGTCCTACCTCCCCTTGACTATTACAAATATGTAGCTAATACATTTCGCTGATATTTTGTGGAAACAAAGGATATATTTTCAAAAGGCTTAAGTGTTTTTGCTTAAATAAAAATGTCTTCACTGAATTTTGTTAAATATTCAGAAGTACTATTTACTTTCATTATATAAAGACACTGTGTTCCTTTCACTATATTCTAGACCATATAAAAGGCTTAAAAGAACTTTGGGACTAGAGAGATGGCCTGACAACCTGAGTTCAATCCCTTGATCTCACATCAAGGTGGATGGTGAGCATCAACTCCCAAAAGTTGCCCTCTGACACCCACAGATGTGCTGTAGTACATGCATGCTAATAAATCACATATCATACACACATACACATTTACAACTACATATGAAATTACAGACAGTAACTTTAAATTAGTTTTCTATTGTAAACACTGAGCATTCCAACCTCAGAGTGTTGAGTGATGTGACCAACCAAGTCTTCTGATTAGCTCTTCCCTGAAAGCCTGATGACTTTGGGTATTTGCTTCTTTCATTCTGTAACAGTGGGTTATGGATAACTAAGTACTTGTACAAGTCAGAACTTCAGGAAATCCTTAAATATCTATTTCTAGTCCAACCACCATAAAAGTGATTAAACAATTTCTATGATCTAAAAACAAAGCTGATAGTAAGTACAGTTCCCTTAAATCGGGGATTAAGAAGGATAAACAGAAGTCTACCACCTAGTGCACGCTGCTTTGGAAGAATTTTTCATTATTGCACCATTAAACCTAAGTGTCCTACTACTATTGTCTGCTTTGTACTCTTGATGCCTGAAAGAATTATCCTTTGAAGCATTAGATTGAAAAGAAATACTACATTTGAAGTGGTGGGAGCAATGAAGAATGCAAAGAAATCATGAGACTCCCTTTATGTGATCCTATCCTATGTACTGTTCTAAAATAAAATTCAACTGTGACTCTCAACACTTTAAGAAGAATACTGAGCCAGGCAGTGGGGGCACAGGCCTTTACTCCCAGCACTTGAGCGGCAGAGGCAGATGGATCTCTGTGAGTTCAAAGCAAGCCTGGTCCACAAAGTGAATTATAGTACAGCCAGGGCTACACAGAGAAACCCAGCCTCAGAAAACAAAAACAAAACAGAAAAAAGAAAAATACTGATCTGGGCATGTGGCCTATGCCTTTAATTCCAATACTGAGGAAGCAGAGGCAAAGAGATCTCTAGGAGTACTAGGCTACCCTAGTCTATACAGTGAGACCCATCTCTCAGAAGAAAAAAAAGAAAAAGTTGGAGTATGACAGATATGCACTTAAAGTTATCATCATATTTTTCCAAGGAAATACTTTAGTGTATATAGAATTGTATTTACTTCTGCTGGGTGGTGGTGGCACACACATTTAATCCTCATACACAGAGGCAGATGGATCTCTGAGTTCAAGGCCAACCTGGTCTGCAGCATAGGTTCCTGGACAGCCAGGACCACAAAACACTAAACTGATAACTCATTTTGAAAAATCAATAAAGTGTTTCCCATTATACAGAAAGTGAGTGCAAAAGCTGTACGGTATAAGGAGAAATTTTTGGGTACATAGGAGATAAATCAAAGAAATGCCAACTATCATTTCATATCTGTTTAAATACATGACAGTAGCATAATTTAAAGATGGCTTCAAGTGTTCAGTACCTAAAATAAGCTTTTTTTTTTTTTTTTTTTCAAAATAAAGGGGTTGTGTATAAAGAATTTTAGTGCTAAACAATGCTGAAAAGGACAAACTGACCTAAAAATCAGCAAGGAAAGAATATTGCTCAGAATTTTCTTTTGAATAATAAATGATCGTCCAGTTCTCGTTAGCGTGTTTGGGACCTCTGGCTCAGCCACTCATACACCCCTGGCTGACTCCTATCAGTTGACGGTCCACCCCTATGAGGGAGACTGATCAGGCAGCTTCAGCATAAATGTTCATGGAGTGGTCAGGAAAGAGCCACCGAATCAACGCTGGGAAATGATGGGGCAAGTGACGCTGTGGCCAGAGGACCCCGCATCCTGTTCTCATACTGTTTGCCATGCTAGTAGAGTTCGAAGAAAGAAAAAAAATCAAAAAGAAGGGGGAACTGAAAGTTTGGAAAGATAAATGTAAGCTGAGTACAAAGTATAAGTCAAATAACAAACTCAGAATTCTTTCCTAGAACAGAAAAACCAAAATCCAAACAAAAAATTTTTTGAAAGGTTAGGCATCAAACACTAGAAGCTGCATTCCCTGAGGTGATACAGAAATGGAATGTCCCCAAGGCTGTCAAAATGTTCAAGGCCTATCCCAATGTGTCCCTAACACTGCTTTTCAACCAGAAAGCACGCTACTACTATGTGAATAAATGCCTCAGAACAAAGTAAAGAAAAAGGAGACCTCCAAAGACTAATGGGCTAAGTAACATATAAAAGAGGTAGTAAGGCCCAATTCCTAGTTCACTGCAGAGAAAAACACTAAGACTCCGAAGGGTGAAAGGGTCAAAAAAAGGCCCCATGGCACCAGAATTATGAGCTCAGGCTGTGGGTGCTCACAGCGTAGGTCAGAGATCTGATTCTACCACCAAGTAACACTTGTTTTAGGAGAGCTACTTATCAAAATTTCTATTTCTGAACACTGACCACCTCATCTATAAAAGGAGAAGAGTATCTACCCTCCACAGTGAGAATTAGACAAAATATTATATTGAAAGTAATTGGCACAACTGCTAGCATGTATTATTTTCAAAGTCAAGCTTGCATACCAAGTGCTTTCACCCAATGGCCATCCCACTGGCCTACAACTTTAAGAGAGCCACGGATTTCCTTCTCTGTCTCTGTCTGTGTGTGTCTCTGTCTCTGTCTCTCTCTCCCAGTATCCACCTCTATGTGTGTATGTGCATGCATGCATGTATGTAAGTATGTGTAGGTATATGTGTGTATTCATGTGTAGTGGATACATGTGGGTGAGTGTGTGCATATGTGTGCATGTGCATGAATGTGGAGGTCAGGGCACAACCGCAGACGTTGTCCATCAAGATCTGTACACATTATTTTTTACACAAAGTCCCTTGCTTGGGACCTAGGGCTTGTCAATTAAGCTAGGCTGGCTGGCCAGTGAGCCCCAGTGATCCTCCAACTTCCCAGTGCTGGGGCTGCAAACACACACCACTACACCCCACTTTTTACATGGATGCTGGGGTCAGAATCAGGCCCTCATGCTCACATGACAAGACATTCTACCAACTGTGCTATGTCCCTAGCCCCAAGATTCACAGATTTCTTTTTCCTTTTACAAAGCTGAATTTTAAGTAAGTAAGTCAAACTATCACTCAATTAGAATGTTACTGGCCTAAAAAAAATTATAAGGGAATCACAGTATTTGGAATGTGTTGCATTTTTTTGTTTCAAATGTATTATTTAAGTAAAATAATAAATACACCATTTAGACAAATCCCAAGTATCATTAGCTCTCCTTAAGAGAATATGAATATATTATGTCCTGTCCATCACTAATAATCTTTGCTGCTCATAAACAAAAGCAGGAGTGGGTTCCTTTGTGTGTGTCCCACTCCGCTCCTGCTGACCAAGGCTAATAAATGTCTGGAAATTTTCAACCAGGAAAACAGATGTGAACCAGATCTGGAAACGAGCTCTACAGTAAAATGTATTAACATGTCCTTTAGAAAGAGTCAAACACATCAGAAGAATCATATTTTAAAGCAAGCCCCAT